TTTGAGGGGAAGGAGAAGGACTTCTGGTATGGTGAGAGGACCTCTTGCCAATCTGAGGGGAAGGAGAGGGATTTTGTGCATGATGTGAAGGCCTCTTATCTTTAGGAAGGGGACAGTGATCCTCATGTCCATGTCTACTATGTGCAGATCTACTGCTGCCAGAAGTTCTGGTCATCTCCAAAGGGGCAGATCTGTTGCTGTTTGTGTTATTTTTGGAAGTGGACCGAGATAAGGAGGAGCTGCGCAGGGAATGAGTCGATCCTCGCCATGAATCCAGGTAGCGACTGGAGTCAGATTTAGTTTCACTGGTAAGGATTTTTCTCTGAAAGGAATGAGCTGAGTCTCCATTAGTGACACTTCTGAGGAGAGCGTAGCCTGATGGGTCACTGGTGCCTTTTCGAGAAGGAGAGAAGCTGCGACTGTTTTGATTCTTGTTGAGGGAGCTGCCAGTTTTTGTAATTGGAGGTGAGTGTTGATCAGAGGCATCATAAGCTTTCCTTAAAATTGAAGAGCTGTGGCTGCTATGGGTTTTGACAGAGTTGCTAAATTCAGACTTATGAAGCAGAGACTGAGAAGGAGCTTCATAGTTTCTCTTTGAAGGTGATGAGTTACATTTTTCATAACCATGGCCATTTAATGAACTAACACTGAGCTCCCTTCTCCCAAGCTGATGCTGATTAATAGTTTCATGGCCTCTCCTTCCAGGAGAAAAGGAACGGCTGTTCCTAGATTGACTGCTGCTGACTGCGCTTGATTCAGTTTTTCGAAGTATGGATGGTCTCAATCGGTCATAGCCTTGTCTAGATGGAGGCACCAGGTCTTCATCATGTCCCTGTTCTTGACTACTTAAATGGTTACGTAGCTGAGCTTGGCTTTCAATACCATAGCCCTCTCTTACTGGGGATCCGCAGCGTCCACGATGACTGTGTTCATTTAGAGACATAATCGATTCAGATTTACGAAGGAAGCTTTGACTAAACGCACTGAAATTTCTACTAGGGAGTGAAGAGGTGCGACTGTCGCCCACACGGTCAGAAGGTCTCCTAGATGGAGAGGAAGTACGACTGCTGCTGCCATGTCCTTGGGATAAACTTGCGGTGCCTTCAGAGTTGCGAGACATTAGGGCTGAAGATCTATGATCCCTCCTTGTGGGAGATGAGCTTCTTATATCAGAACTTTGTCCACCTAAAGAACTGTTCCCTTCTGTTTTCCACAAAGCACTCCTAAAATCAGAAATTGTACTGGATTGGGATTTGGCTGAATTAGCCAACGATTTGAAGTTTTTTGGCAGAGTTCCTGATTCAAAGCGTTGCCCATGTGTGCTTTGCAAGGAGCTTCTCGGTCCTGGTGTTGCCCCTGGAGGCCATCCTCCACCATCAAAATTTTGCCGGTTTAGAAGCCCGTCAGACTTATTGTGTCTCAATTGTAAGTTTCCACGTGAAGGGGAAGAAGAGCGAGACTGCAGAGCTGAGCTTTGCCTTGAGGAATCGTACCGTCCAGACTGTTGATAGGAGGAGATATGAGACAAAGGATTTCCTCGACTTGAACCCTTTCGGCCACTTGAGGCTAGCGACTCTGCTATCTTAAAAGGAGTAGGACTTGGAGATCGAGGTCCAACTTGTGCCTCAACTTCAACCGCAACATCATAAGGGTCAGGGGGAGGGATTTCTATGGGTAGGTCCTCATCGTAAACCTCAGTTATCGACCTTTCAGATGCCACACCAAGATTTGGGTTTCTGAAGGGGACAGTATCTTTGGGCTCAACGTTTCTGTTGCTGAAGATGGGGTGACCTCTTTCAAAATGTCGAAAAGGAGCAGATGGACTCTTTTCAGTGAAGGATCGTGCACCTGCTGCCCTCCCCAGGGAGTAGTAGCAACTTTCACGCTTCTCTCTGTCTTCTTTTAACCCTTTAATGAAAAAAATAGGAATTTTGAGGAAAATATAAAGGAGAAATAACAGGAAAAAAAACACATCACCCTGACACAAACCTACCTATATTGTATTACTGATAATTACTCTATGACACCTCCGCTGGTGACTACAAATAATATTGCCAAGTAAAAGACACCTCTGTTTGTAACTGGATATAGATCAAGTGTAGTAAGTCATTAAGGACTGAAGAAGACTCAAGTCTACTACTGCACAAGATATCTAAAACAATTAAGTAAGGCATCACTTGATATTGTTAATTCTTTTTCAAGTGTGCACATCTTTTCCAACTATTTCACTGTATTTTATTTGACAAGGGATGAACTAAATTATCTCCAAGGCCAGTTTGAAAGTACCCGAGCGTCCACTGAAGCTGCTGTTGCCTTGTGTGTCCTCCATCCAGGCCCGCGGGTTGGGCCGGTGAGGTGGAGGGTCAAGCCGTGTCATGCTGAACTTAGCGGTACACCGTTGAATTGGTAAGTAGTCCTCCTCAGCACTCACAGAGCTGCTGAACTCTTCGCTTTGGTCACGACAGCTTTGTGGAAGAGGAGGTAAGAAGAAGAGACAAGAAGGGTAGAGGACGGGGGTGAGAGACGACAAGGAACGGAAAGTATCAATAAAGTGAATCAGATAAGATGCTACAGTAGGGTTCTTAAATAACTATCCAGTACATCTCTGGATTTGGCTTCCTAAAACGGTACATTTCTATGAAGACATCTAAAATGTACAACTCTTCATTTTTCTATGGCCTTACCCGTCTGTGCTGTAGTCGTCGCCGCCGTCACAAATACAAAGTGCACAGTCAGGGCTCAGGATGCACAGAGATGTCTGATCGTAACCCATATGACCTCCATTGACATCACAGCAGCTACTCACCACTGAGAGAGCGTCAGAGTCCTCCTGATAGGGTGACAGCGCAACTAATGAGCCAATCACATCATCGCAGCCAGGCTTATCTGTGTCCAAGTCACACAGGTGATGTTGAGAGAGGCTGTGTCTCCAAGCAAAGGTCAAAAAAGTCTTTGTGATGACACCAACGGGACTCATTTTAAAACCATTAAAACACACAAGGAAGTGCTTAATAATCCTAAACATGCTCCCCAGCTCCATATTCCAGAATAAAGGGGTTTGATGAAGACTGTCCTTGATCTTAGACCGACATGTTTATTCTGCTGTTCGATTAGGATTACACCTCTGTAACTCGACCTGCCCTGTGGCTTTCCTCATCATTATTTCATCACTATTCTTGTTTTTCTTTCCTCAGACATTTCGACTGAACTATGTTGCGTTAAAAAGGTCCAAAACTGTCTGTGTCTCTACATTTTTAAAAGAAAATAGATGAACTATAGTTCGATGTACAGAATGTACAGAAAAAAGTTGTCAAAAGAGCAGACGAAAGCAGAGACCAGCAGCAAATGTCAAAGTTTTAATCCTGTTCACAAACGCTCAGTTTTTCTGTACATTGTAACTTTTTCTGAAGTGGCAAGAAATTGCCAATAGATGGATAAGTGATCCGACTTCATTCATTTATAATAGGGACCAGTACTGCCACCCTGCTTCACGCCGTTACCTCACATCTTCTGTCTTGTCTTCATTTACCAAATAACAACAGACTCGCACATAATGTCACCAACTCTTGGGACATAATTGCTTTCAGTGTGAAGTTTATGATTGCAAACATCGAGGTCAAATAAAAACTGTCTTTATTAAATTTAGGTTTAAAAACATCTGCAAACATGAATACTGCCTGACCTGTGACCTGCACCTGTCAGGCTCGAGTCACATCCAGTTAATCCCATCATGTTCTCACAAATCAGCCCTCCTGGTTAACTAGCTATTGTTCATTTCATTTCTAAGTTTCTTACTTTTTTGCTGCTGCTGTCTCTTTCTGTCTGGGAAGAGATCGGCGTCAATAGGAACACTCCTTTGCCTGTCCCACTTCCAACCCCAGTGTCGGCACCAGTTTTAGTCCCAGCCTCAGGCTCTGGCAGGGGTTTCTGTTGGGGGGCCTCCTCGGGGCTCTCCCCTGAGCCGGCATGCAGGTGTTTCTGGCGAAGGCAGTCGTGGCAGCGGGAGGGGTCAAAGATGTTGGGCTGGAACTTTGGGCAGATTGGCTCATCGTTGGAGAGGGGCATGGTGGGTCCAGCTGCTCGTTCATCGCATTCCACTGAGATGACTAGAAATATTACAACCATTTATTATTTCAAAAGCAAATTTGAACATGAAAATGAATACATAAGAATAAAACGAAGAACTAAGTAGCTGTAATAAAGTAAGTTATTTTTAGTCAATATCTCCGCAACAAAATGCACTTCATAAAATGTTCCTACACAAAGGCCAAAGATATGTAACAAGAGTTAAACTGCAGGTTTAGTCATTTACTGATGAGTTTGTGCTTCACTGCAGCAGATGTGAGAACAGATCAGTTGCTTCATTTCATGATTCATGATGGATCACACTGAGAAGCCGAACATTTCCTGAAGACTGGAAGGCAGTGAAACATTATCCAGTCTGAGCTCCATCAGCTGAACCCCGCAGAGCAGCATGACTACAAACCACAACTTTTATCAGCTTTGAGCAAAAGCACAGCTGGTATAAACCCCTCAAAAAGTGCAAAATAGTAAACAAAGCTGTGAAAAAAACACAAAAAAGGGAAAAGGATTAAAAAAGGCGGGTAGAAAAATGTACTTACCAGCAAAAGAGGTTCCTGCTGTTTGAAATGTAAGGATAAACTGCTAATCGGACCCCCACCTGTCATTCCGCCTCTTCCTCGTGCTCTCTGGATTGCAACGCTCGGATCGATCTAACTGGCTGCTCTCGTGGTGAGTGAAACTGAAGCTTCCATGACAGCCATGGAGGCTCTTGGTTAAACACAGCACTGAGCCTGGAGTACACACACAACCCCCCGAGCCAACATGGAGCCATCGGCCTGATGGTTGTATTAAATATCATGGGCTTTTAGAAAACGAAATGAAACGCTCAAGGTAGCGACAGCTGGCACACGCTGGCTCAAGTTAACGTAAATAAGTAAACACTGCTACGTTGGGGAGTTTATCATACATTACAGCGGAGATGTGCAACTGCTCCAAAAATAATAAAAACTGTCCTTTAGGGCCATCGAAGGTAACACTGAGCTTAAAGGAAACACAAAGCTCAGGGTTTATTTCCTCATGTACTCCAGAGGATGTCGACAACATTATCAGGTTTCCTAATTAAACAATAGAGTGAAGAGGAACTAAATTCCAAGCAAAGCAAACTGTGTGTGACATAAGACTCTGAAATGAGCTTGGTACGTTTCTTTTAATCAAAATGCAAGAATGTACAGTGAAATCTGTGTAGCACTGACAAAATATCACTCAAACACAGACTGACAAAAAAGATCTCATCTCTTTAGAAATCCAATCCGTAAATGATAAAAAAAACAAAAACATTTTTTTTAGTCCTCATGGTGTGTTTTTTTCCCCGTCTGTCGGCGTCTCTGACTCTTGGTGGTCTTCCCGCTCCTGTGTTTATTCTCGACACCCGCGGCTCTCTTGTCTGTCCGATGGCCTCGTCTGCCTTCCCGCTTCCCTTTCCTTTTCCGCTTGCTGGTATAGGTGCTGAGCGCTGCTGTAAGGGAGCAGATTCTGCAGCAGAGAACAGAGAACAGAATTCATCTGGACTGAGCAGGTAGAAGAAGAATAGGGAGACAAAACTGAACAAAGCCATTCTGTCACTACTGTTCTATGGAGACAGAACAGAAAGAAATGTGCAGCTATTCTTACATAAAACCTCCATTTCCTTACAAAAAACAATTGCTATTCTTACTGATGCTCATTTGTGAAAACCTAGCAGCTTACTTTTTGCTCTTGATCGGATCTCTGGCTTTTTTTGGCATGGCAGGCATTTTCTCCTCTTCTTCATCTTCATCCCCGCTTTGTTTATCAGCCTGTCAAAAAGGGATAATTCATATTTAAGTTAGTATCTTAGGAGTTTTTTTTTGTTTCACACCAACACATTTATAAAATATTTAATATTTACATTAGTTGCGGGTCGGAGCAGATGTGCTCCTGAGAGGTCAAGGTCACTTATGGTCGTCACGGTGACGGTGTGGTTCGGGTGATCATACTGCACCGACTCTGTTTTACTGATGACTGCGTCTTCCAGGTCATCTTCTGCGTCCACTGTGAGAGGGGAAAGGGGGGCACAGGAACAAAGAAAACGGATCCTGATGACTTGAACTTCAAAATAAAGACAAACAATGGATTTGTTCATTAAACTCACCGAGAGCTTCTCTCCTCTCCTTCAGCATCTTTATGTATTCTTTATGTCGCTGAAAATAAAGAGCAACAACTCACAGCTGCACATTCTGCTGGTACATAAACATGCATTTAGGTTTGTGCTCATTCATATTTGAATGTTTACACTTACTTCCTCTCTGACTCGGCTCTGCTCTTCTTTAATCTTCCTTTTGATTTCTTCCACTGCTGCTTTTTTCCTCTCCACCTTTCTCTTATGGAAACCAGTCAGATAGTCTCTGATGGGGTAAATATTACAGTATTATTATTATTTTTTTAATTGTGTTGGAAGGTTTCTACGAAACACTGAACAAAAGGCTTATTTTAAAATTCAGATGGTAATGTTTTTAAGATTTTTCACTTAAATTTAGTTTAGAATAAACTATCCTTTAGGTACAGAGGATAATGTACAAATTGTTACTGTAAATACCTGCGGCTCATTAGTTTAAGTTAGTCGCATTTTACACACAAACAGTCAACATATCTGTAAATTTATTTTAACTTCAATTGTTGGTAAATATTTCTGTTCCAACGTTGTTATGCTAGGCTAATGCTAGCTAACAGCTTCAACATTTCGTTAAAATTTAACTTACTGTCTGTCTTTGTCGTCAAACATTACGACGCATTTGTTCTCTCTTTTCTTGGACCCTGGCTTGAATTTTGCCTTTTGTGTCCCATGTTTATGATTTTTCATGTTGTTCACGTGAATTTCACAGCGTTAGATTTCCGTCATTTAACTTTGTCCGGCACGAAACACGTTCCTCTTGAAAAGTTCCGCTGAGCTCTGGCAGTACAGTCCAAATGACAAAAGTACATTTGCAATCATCTTAGGATCGTTTAAAAAAGACTAATGATATAATTTTAACAGCTTTATTGTTTATATTTAACTGGTTTTAATTAAATAATTTTTTAAAAACAGTATATTAGGAAAAATTAAAATGCAAAACTTGGTTTGCTGAGTCTTTCTAAATGCAAGCCTCAAGCTTCAACTGAGTTCTCTCATTAAACAAGTTGTTCTAACAATGAGTCAACAGGGTTTTTAGTTTTAACATATTTTGTTTAGATGTGTTTAAATTTCAGGCATGAGAAAAATGAGCAAAATCCAGAATTAGGTTGGAAGAAACCCTAACATGATTCAGGGCTCATTTTGCTTTCACCAAGTCAACCATGAGCGGTTTATATCACATTAATGTAGACATAACTGGCAAGTTATGCATCCGACAGCTGAAAATTGGCTGAAATGGACATATGCTGAAGAAAAATTGTCCCCAAGCACAGAATAACTCCACAACAAAATCACTAAAAATACATAAACTGTGCAGAAAGCTGTGCCCTCAGCGAACTATGTTTACTGAGCTAAAAATGGTTTTACATTAAAGATGGTTCAGGTCAAACATAAAACATACTTTATTGTTTCTAAAGTTTTTTTTTTTTTTATCACACTGCTTCCAATTTTGTTTTTAAAAGTAATGCGATATAAAAACATCTGTTTTTAAACTTAACTTATACATCAACAACTCTCCACTTTGCTTTGCTCTGTCCTGTCTGTGAAACTGCTTAAAAGCCTCTCTTCTACAAATCTTTGGTCAGTTGATCCCTCATCGCAATTGATAACAATTATTTCTTTGAAGAGAAGACAGGCTTTAGGCGAGCCGATTTGCCCTGTTGGCACACATGCGGCTGGATATCTCATCGACTTGGAAGACTTGAGGACGTGTCTATCTCTGCTGTCATCCGTGGATGTTAAGGATGCATTTATAATTGGATTTATGACAACTACTGGTTCCTGCTTTTTGGATTCCGTTGGTTCCTGGTTTATCTACAATCAAGGAAGTCGTGGCAACACACTTGGACCTTGTCAGGCTGCCTGCCTCATATTGTCATTTGTTGTTGTTGTCCACTGTTGTCATCACTCTTTGTTAACATTCAGGTCTCTCTTGTAAATGAGTCCCTGAGGCTCAATGGGATTAACCTGTTTAAATAAAGGTTGAATGAATATGTTGGCTTGGTTTGTGCCTCGAGCACCCAGACTCAAATGCTTTTGGCAGAATGGATCAGATCTCTGGGATTATTCTCAGACACGGTCCATTGGTGTGGTCATTTAAATTGGACGTTCCGGAAGCGAGTGGACCGACAGACTCAAGGTAGATGTCATTAAAGTTCTGCCTGTCCCAAAACAATCATGTTTATCTGAATTCGGCTCCCTGACTGGCCTTGACAGGACATCTTATCGCCACCCACCTGGAAGTTTTGTAAACTTGATGCTCTGCCCCTCCCTCCCCTCCTACTGAGGAAGTCTATGGATGATTCAGAGGGGCCCAGCTGAATAAATATTCTGTCATCATTTCAGGACTCTTTAGATTGTCCTTGACCCCCCCCCCCCCCCAGTGTGTACAGATCTCACCAGAGGGAACTATTTGAACTGAGTGATTTTATCTGAATTCTGCAGTGCCTCTGTGTGTTCTGGACATGCTCACCGTCCTTGTGTACCCCCCAACAACCCCCCTGCAGAATGTCAGTGTCATTATGTGCTAGTGTGCAAGTTTTTTTTTTTTTTTTCATTTTCATGCTTTGTATGCAGAAAGCTCATCAGAGACTCTACTTCCTCAGGAGATTGAGACGCGCTGGTCTGGGAAGCTCAGTCCTCACCTCCTTCTACAGGTGTGCAGTGGAGAGCATCCTGTGCTCCAACATCAACGTGTGGCATGGAGGCTGCACAGCTGCAGAAAGAAAAGCTTTGCAGAGAGTGGTGAAGGCTGCACAGAAGATGTTGGAGTCAGTCTCCCCACCATCACAGACATCTACACCTCCAGATGCAGGAAGAGGGCCACCTGCATCATGAAGGACCCCACTCACCCAGCACTCACACTTTTTGCCCCCCTCCCCTCAGGAAGGAGGTTAAGGAGCATTAAGTGTAGAACCACTAGACTGAGGAACAGCTTCTACCCTGAGGATGTTAAGACTCATGAACGTTACTTGAAAATTATTCTGATTGAAATAATTGTTTGAAAAAAGGGGCAGATATAAGATTTTTTCTTCTTTCTGCTGCCTTTCATTTTAAATCTCTTGTATCTTTTTTTATATGTTATGGAATTATTTTGTACTTTTTTAAAATGAATAAACTTTATACCATACCATCTTTAATCAGGATAATCACCGTGAAGAATCACATCATGTTGCTGCTGATCTGTTTCATGTTGCTGATCTGTTTCATGTTGCTGTGTTCATGCGTGCTCATCTTCTCACACTTCGTGCTGCTGTTCGGCGTAATGTTTTTGTTGTTTTTATGCTTAGCATATTTTTAGCTGATGTTTTTCTTAGTTCATATCTTAGATCTGTTTTTATTTTACATTTTAATACTTTTGTTGGATGTAACTGGGACCCTGTGTACACAATGTCATTCCACCACATGTACTACATGTGGTGGAATGACAAATAAAGATCCTTGAATCCTTGAACCCTTTTAACCTTCAGCCAAAGATTAAGAGCATGTTAGGATTTTTTTCGTCTCCAAACCCTGTGTCATTTTTCACCACTTTTTATTGTCTGTCCAAACAGGTCTCACGTGTAAATGAGTCTTGGAGGCTCAATGCGATCCATTTGTTTAAATAAAGGTTGAATGAATGAATCCACAGTGGGAAAAATCTATTAATTAATTAAGAACTGAAGGATTTCTAAATGTTTTTAAACCCCGACAGGAAGGTGAAATGCTTTTATGTTTAAGATCGAGCTACAAGAAAATATTTTTTAAATGAAGTTGTTACAGATTATAAAATGTCCCTGCCTTATAACAGACCACTGCACGCTACATTTAATTGTAAATATGATGCACATATTGTTTTGAACAGCAGTAAACATCGAAAGCATGAAAACTATTGGGCCAATTTAAGTTACATGTGAAGAAATGTAAGCAGAAATAAACGTGAAATGCTCAGGGAGCATCATATTTGGGTTTAGTGGCATTTATAAAGAAGAAACAACATAATTTAGAATGAGATCACTGCTGGTTTCACACCTGCCAACACCCTCCTGAGTCAAACACATGCAGTTTGGTCTTGTTTCAGGTTTAAGTGCAGAAACGTCAACTTCCTGTATTTCCCCTCAAAGTAACACATACCAAACAGGAAACACACGGTTGTGTTGTTTTATTGGAAAACATTGAAAGAAACACAGAAGTTCAAAGAATAAAACAACTCGAGGGGAGAAAACAAAATGTCACAATTAAAAACAGCAAAAATGCTTTCTTGTGCACTAAATGTAAAAACTAAATTACTTGCAAATGTTTTTAAATGTTTCTTCAGATAGTTTAGTTGGAAACTTGTTTCATGACTATGTTTGGACATTTTAAAACCAAGGAATCACATTGTTTGAGAGGAGTGATCCCTACAACCTAAAATAAAGATCTAATGAAGGATTTGAAATAAAAACGAGATATATAAAAAACATTTTTACTATTAGAGATCCCCTTTGGACAATGTCTGGCCCCTCAAGAGCATTTATCTTACATAACCATTAAATAGATTCAGAGCAGAGAGACAGGATTGACAAAATGTCGTGATAATTACAAATAAAAAGTGAACTGGACAAACATCACAAAAATAAAACTCAGTCATCCTCAGCTGCTAAAACATGTTTTTCTACAGAACACCAAACCCATTTTGCTGAAGAGCTTTAGATGCATATCAAACCTTTTTTTTTTTTTTTAAGACTTCTAGTGAAACTCCAAACATCTTTTATTAGTTTTTGACCTGCGCTACTTGAAACTCTGTATAAAAGGTCAAAACCTGAACTCTGTGTCTGTTGCCACAGTATTCACCCCCCAGCTGCTGCTCAGAGACATTTTCAAACCCGCTCAGGTGCAGAAAACGCAGGCGAAGGTTCGGGAACAATAGATGGAGGAGTAAAAACTAAAGGTCTCAGATTGTTGATGTAACACGGTAAAGTGCTCCTTCTGAATAGAGTCTCCAAGAAATAACTCCCAGTTTGATCTACTTTATCTGCTTATATACAACTTATATACAATCACACGGTCTGTATGAATGCAACGACTTTAAACATGCGATAAACATCTGGACACCTCTGTGAGTGTAGACAGTTCCTCCGTTGGTTCACTTTTAGCTTTCATTTACACATTCAGGAGCAGCAGCAGCTTCCTGTCTTGCCTTTAGTTTCAATAAATTCTTAAGAGCTGTGCTGCTACGATCAAATAAAACGTTATAAGAGACTGAACCTTGACTTTAGAGAACAGTTTTAGAAGAACTGATGCGTTTCTCGTTTTGTAGTACAACGCTGGCATCGTACAGTGTTTGAGGTAGATAGACGCCACCACTCACTGTACGGTTAAAGCGAGCTCCTCTGCAGCGCAGACGCACTCAGACCTCTGCTGAAGCCCTTTAACATTAACTGAACAGTGCACGCAGCACTTACGCTGCTTCAGTAACGACTGCACGGCTACGACTAATTCGTGAATTGATGCATCGGATTCATTTCAAGCAGCTGCTAGAAACTGGTCCCTTTTTCTGATTTTGGGCCCAGTTGGCATTGTTCTGTTGTGCGCTCATCTGGAAGTGATTAGACAACATCTGTCAGGATGTATATATTTTTAAATTAGCAAGAAAGTAGACCAGAAAAACAAAATCTTTGTTTTTAATTGAAGAATTAAATAAGTACCTCTACTGGGCAGGAGGTGGGGCTAAAGAGCTGCAACATTTCAACTAGAGATCAAACTGTTAAAAGGTGTAGCCATTAAATGTTTCAGGGCGCTTGCAGCAGTTTGAAGTCTACATTTTCCATCTTATAATCAGAAGTTGTTTCTTTTTGTGTGCGTTCAGGAAGCAGCGATGGTGGTGCCCCCGCTGAGGCGCAGCAGGATCTGTTGACAGTCCTGCAGGGACCGGCGGTCTCCAACGCGCTCCAGGGTTCTCTTGGCCTCGGCCAGCAGACGGGCTCGGTGACCTGGCGGGGTCAGCAGAGGCATGGGCAGATGGCGGCAGGCGAGAAGGATGGCATGAGCCCGCTCCCTCTCACCGACGACACGCTCCCCCTCTGGCGGCAGAGAAGGAGAGGAGCAGTTTAGGTGTCGATGGCATCGATGTGTTGTATAAAACTGTTTAAAATGAGCTTTTAAATGAAAAATGACCGCAGCTGAAGCTCAAGGTGCACGGTGTGTGTAGTTAACGAGTACATGTGTCGGCGTACCTGCAGAGTATGAGCTGTGTGTTCTGCGTCGCAGGTTGTGCTCCAGCAGCTGGTGTGTCCTCGTCGGACTGGCTCCAGCCATCAGCCGCACCGTGGTCTCATGGAGGAACATCTGAGACACAAGAGAACACATGGGTATCCAACTTTAACAAAAATGTGACCAAAAAAATTAAAGTTATTTTTCTGATCTTGTGTTAAAGGCAATTAAACTTTTACCACCTGATGCAGTAACTTTATAAAAGTATACAGTAGTCCCTCTCGCTACGTCGCAGTTAAGACTTTCGCAGACTCGCTCTATCGCAGTTTGTGAACGTACAGTACATAATGTTGTACAAAAAATAAACAAACTGTACAGGATACACGATTGTCAACTTTAATATTACTCACATGATCGGGACAGTACTGGATACAGTACTGTACAATAAAAAATTAACAAAAAAAAAAACTTTGGACAGGCGTCGCCATTTTGTAGTGTTCTCTCAGTATAAGCTCCCACATAACCAGGCGTACTTCACTCTGCAGGTCTGCGCGTACCAGATTAGACTCGACGTGGACTCAAAGTGGACATCCCCAAGCCATGTCCATGCAAAGATCAATTTTTACGACCGCATACATGTACTCGGTGTTGCACAATAAACTGCCCGGCGACGGACTGTTTTGTATGCGACACAAATGTATAAAATCCCCTTCTTCATCCCTGATCTGATTTAATGGACTTTTCTTTTGTTGTTTTTGCCAAGAGACAAGTGATCTCTTCCTCATCCGTTGATGCCATGACTGAAATGGTGAGAAATGAAGGAATTTGTCACAAGAGAATTAAAATCAGGTCCAGCGTGGCTGCGGGAGGGTCTAGAGATTTCCTGGTGGGCTGATCTGATGTGTGGGCTGCAGGGCCAGCACTCCCTGTTTTTTTAAATTTTTTAGAACTTTTTATCAACAACATATAAACACAGAACACTGCTGCTCCTGGGCTGCCAGCTGCCTCTACCCAGGGCTGCCACCAGCTCTCGTTTTTGTTTTTTTGTTTTTTGTTTTGCGACCTGTCAATCAATCCAGTAGGAGTGTCAGCAAATGACCAATCGGTGACCTCAATTTGTCATGAAGGTAAACGCCCCTTGCCTGCGGAGCTGGGCCGCAGCCCATCAGGGTGTACACTCGAGTATGAAATCTGAACCGTTTGCGGACAATGTGCACAGTGTCCGCGCGGCTCACGGAGTACACAGTACACTCGAGTATGTGGGAGCCTTAATCCTCCACTGTATTCCCCCTCATAACGACCATATTTCCCAGAAGCCAACAGTGCCGCACCCAGAAGCCCCATTTCCTTCTGCTGAAAAACTAGAGGGAAAGTTCTGATTTGATCAGCACTCAGCGGATGCAGAGAAACCGCAAGGAACCCACTGAACCGGAGCAGAACCAGACTTTCAGACCCATTGGTGAATCTTGAGAGCTGGTACCCGGCCCACAAGGACTTCCGAGCGGGGACGCGCACTTCCGTAGGTCCAGAGCCGTTTCCGTTGCCCATCGGGACTTTTTTCATCCAGACTTGGACTCAATCAACCACCTACGGTCCCACGCTGGCCTACTGAAGGTCCACTCCATGCTCCGCCCTCAAGAGCTGCACTGAACCAGACTAGAACCGGACGCCCAGACTCGAGAGGTGAACCCGAGAGCTCCTAGCTGGCCCATGAAGACCTCTGAATGGGGATGCACTGGTAGTAGCTACATACAAGTATGTTGTTAAACTTAGTAGGTTTAAGAGTTTAGAAGATTGATTGTGGGCTTTGTTGCTGCAGGGAACGTCTGCAGAATTTAACAGAGTTGGACCAGAACCGTTCTGCGGAGTTGGTGAGTAAAATTTAGTATCTACATATAGAGTACTGTACGCACGTTGTTAAAATGACGTAGGTTTAAGAGTTTAGAACACTGCAAGAGTGTGGGAAGGATTTCTAAAGCCTTAAAATATATATAAACACTAAAATAAATATTACATCGCTACTTTGTGGATTTTCATTTATTGCGGTTTTATTTATTGGTGGTTTGGAACCGAACACTTGCAATAAAAGAGGAACCACTGTGAATGTTTCCTTTGATGTTGCTATGAAGTGAACAATAAAAACTGATTGGAAGCATAAATTCAGAATGTGGTAACTTGTAAAGTGAATCTGAGGTATTTTATGTGTAAATAAATCAAAGATGCTAAAAAAGTACAGCCCTTTTCTGTCAGCGTATCTAAAGAACACACTGAGGTAGATCTTGTCATGAGCGTACCTTGTGCTGCGCCTGTCTGTAGCACTGTGTGAGCTTCCTGAGGGCGCTCAGGTCCCTCTGGAAACCAGCCAACTGAGACCCAGGAGCCGGACCAGGCTCCCCATTACTGCTGCCTCCTCGCTGCCACAAACTGGTCCTCAAGGTCAGAAGAAGGTCACAGATGAGAAGCTCCACCCCCTTGGGGAAAAAAAAAAATCACTCATGTAGTAGCTGATTAAAAATATGAAGAATTACATTTGAGACAAGACAAATCCGATTCCTTCAATCCCATCATCAACAAACTCTGCATGCACGGCAGAAATCAACCCACAAACGGTTAGTGAGATTCGAGGCGGTGCAATGTCAGGTGGTGCGGTGTGTAGCGGGTGCGTGCAGATCAGAGAGGCCTCTGTATTGCACTGCAGACACATTGCACTCAGCTTCAGGATCATGCAATGCAACTACAATGCACCACAGCCACCTCCTTCCACCCACACTGCGCACACACAGCCCCACTGCAGCCTGCCCTGACCACCACAGAGCACGCAGAGGAGCAAACATTTCAAATCAAACGTGCACGTTGAGCAAAGTGAAAGAACCACAACCCAAGCTCAGATCTGAAGCAGAGCCAGTGTTTGGAAAGTCAGGAATGGAGACATTTCTTGCCGTCGTACCTTGTTGAGCCAGTTTCCAGACTGAGCGAGAGGCACGGAGATGCTGGAGCGCAGGTAGCTGCTCGCTCTGTCACAGTGGGAGAGGCAGGACACCACCCCCTCCCCTTTCAGAGGGGACAGGCTCATCTGGACTACCTTACACAGAAGAAGCACGGCTTTGGGCAGAGGATGGCTGAAACAGACAGGATTAGTTTAAATATTTCAAAAGATCTGAGATCCGGTGGTCTACAGCTTTGACACTTTGTGAACTGCTTTGCATCAAACTGACACCAACAGAAAAATCAATGTGCAGCACAATCTGACACATTTTAATTTACATTTAATTTGTTAATGCACTTACTCAAGAATGTGCAGCGCTCTTGGCATTCGCTCTGCTTCAGCCAAAAGGGATCGGACAGCGACATCGTCCCCCTGCAGCCAGTGAACAGCAGCCTTCAGGACCAGAGCCCACCAACGACTCACCGGGTCCCCCACTGGAGGTCACAAAGGGGACCAATTTTAAAAACAGAATGCTTGTTGGGACAACAGTGGGCTGTTGGGATCAACTTCTCTGAAGTGTTTAAAAAATGTTGGAATAAAAAGAGACGAGTCGTATAAAGCAGAGGAGGCTGCATCAATTATTGTTTCCACAAATGTTCTCCGTGTTTAAATCTGATGCAAAGTATTTAATAAAAGCCTGACTGATTGTTATCTGTGGAAACTAAATGACTGCCAGAAAAAAAAAACATTGTTGGCTGTAAAAACAAAGAAAGCTGCCTTCAGTTTTACTCTCTTCACCACATTAACACTGACTGTGATCAATGCTTTTTATTAACAAGCAGTTTTTTTCCCCAATATTAGTCAAACCTGAAACAGTGGTGTGACTGGGAGGAGTCGAGAAGGGTGGAGGAGAAGAGGGAGAGTCCTCCGTGCAGCTGTTCAACAACTCGAGGAACTCCAGGGCATTGGAAAACTCCCTGAAAAAGTAGCAGAGCAGAAAAAAAAAACACACAAAGAAGACGATTAGAGACTGAATGAAACTGAGTGGAGACCTTGAGGATTGCTGCCGTCATTCACTGCTGTACCCAGAGTCGTTCTTGCAGCTGCCCGAGTCAGAGTCGCTCTGCGGCTGGATGAGGGTGAGAACAGCTCTCTCCAAAAGCTTCCTGCAGAAACATCGGTGCAGCTGGGCAATGGGGTCAGCTGCAGCAAAACAGAAGGGAACAACATCCAAATGACACAAATGAAGGCCTGGGCCTCGTTAAGGGAACACATACAACCCACTGCTTTGAAGGACAAGACTTTACACGAAAGTCACCGTATGTTGAGAAATGATAAAGTTGTAGCTGTTCTGGTCACACCTTGAAACTAACATTATGTCCATCCTCATGATTTGTTCTCTCAGCTCCAACCACATCATTGTAAAACTGACTCTTTTCAACTGTATTTGGTTCATTGGTCAATTAGTTGTGTGGCTCCATCCTGACATGGATCGACTCCAAAGAGTAATCAGTTGTAAAAGTGCATGAAATGATTAATTTGCGTTTCATTAAAATTCACCCATTTGTTTACAAGATATTTTATTAACAGACAAAACGAAAACAGGTTGAAACTACTGTCTGTCTCTTTTAGTGGTGGGCAAAATTGGAAAAAAAGAACACAAAGAAACAAACCTGCGTCTAGGCCTGTCACGATAATAAATTTTGCTGGGCGATTAATTGTCTCAGAAATTATTGCGATAAATTATAACACTGTTTAAAATTTGACAATAATTAGTTATTGTCAACTTTAAGAAGAAATGTTGGTAATTTTTTGTGTGCAGTACCTTTTTTGACCACTGGATGGCAGAATAAGACAGTTTGAACTGAAGGATGGATAGTGAGGGAGCAAGCAGCGCGTCTCTAAGAAAAAAACGGGAGTGAGGCCCCTTGACATGACATGGGCTGTCTCTTTTCAGTTCTCAAAATGGTGGACGCTCTGTGTGGTTTGAGCTCTTTAGCATAGCATTTTTCACACAAAGCTTTTAATTAAAAACAATTCAGTAAACAAGTTCTCAGCTTCTTTTGCAGAGAAAAACCTTTTACACGAAGGCACAGACTTCAACTGTGAATTTTGGTGCTTCGACAAGACGGAGTTTTTTTCTCGAGGTCTACCTGTAAGCTTAGCTCGTAGCTTAGCTTCTCAGCTTAGCTACTTTTAACGATCCAAAAACACGATTTTGGACGGTTAAAACAGATTTTAAAGAAAAAACAGAAAGGGAGGGGTCAGTAAAGAGCACCGGAGTTGATCCTTTTGTCATCCAGTGTCTTCAGTAGAAAGAGAGAGACACAGAGAGACGATAAAGCTGCTAAATGAAAATGAGGTCGATAATTTTCGTTTATCATGCGATTAATTGATTTATCGTTTTATTGCGACAGGCCTACCTGCGTCTCTCTGAGAAGTGTACACTTCATCGCCGCTGTCTGACTTCACTGACCAATCACAGCTCAGGAAGAACTGCCGGCCCAGAGGTGTGAAGAGCCAGTGCAGGACGTCGGGGATTTGTTTGGTCTCTGACTGGTTGGCCACGCTCTCTGCACAACCCAAAAGGTAACCCTGGGAGACAAACACAATGGGAAGTGATTCAGACCCATTATGGCTGCTTTGAGTCACCATTAACAACAGCAAACATTAGCTACACGTACAGGCAGACAAGAAAGGTGGTGGCCCAGGATGGTGCGCAGGGCTGTCGCTGCAGTGACATAAATCTGAGCGAGTTGAGTCGGGGCCATCTTGCTTTGGGCGCTCTCGCTGAGGTTAACAGCACTTAAAGACAGAGAGAAAGCCCACAAGCTGCTGCGCTGTGGCAGCTTTCCTACAAAAACAAGGAGAGAATACACACATGACTTTGTTTAAATCGTTCTGACGTGACTAAGGCTTAAAGTGAGGTCTTGCATTCAGCTGCTCTTGTTCCTGTGCACACCGTGCACTCTGTTCCCTGACCTGTGAGCTGCAGTTGGCTCAGCTGGTGGTAAACCAGCGCTGCGTCCCTTGCACTGGTCCTTGCCTCCTCCCCTTCATGCTTCCCTCCAACCTGATGGACCAGCCAGCCCAGAGGTGTTGGACGATGCAAGCAGTAGCGAATCAAATTCCAGGAGATGGAAAAAACCAGGTCCAGACTGGTGGAGGGAAGAGCTCTCGCCAAGACAGACAGACAAGTCTCCAAACTGGCCATGGCTGCTGTGTAATCTCCCTGGAAGAGACAGGCGAGAGAAACAATGAGCTGCTCAGGATTCAGCACTGAGAGGCAGGTGAGACAACTGAACAATGTCAACACTTAAGACATAAAAAAATCTGATCAAAACCAAGCAGGCTTAGAAACATCAAAACAATGAGATTAAAAAATGTGTGAGGTGCTCAGTGATGATAAATAATCCCTTTATGTGCAACTAAAGGTTGATTAAAACAGGCAAAGACTGTTTCTTATATGATGTCATTTTACATTTTTAGAGACTATTCTTTAATAAAAGCGCATTAAAGTGCTCCAAGTTTGTCCTGCACTCACCCGGTTGAGATGCAGGTCTGCTTGCTTGCGGTGCCTCCAGAAAGACACAGATTTGGGCGAGTGAAGCGGCGTGATGGGCTCCCACAGGTACAGCACTCTGACACAGCCCCACAGAGCTCCCACCCCGCTCAGCACCCACACAATCACCCACGGCAACAGACACCACAGCCAAGACGCTGGAGAAGAAAAACATGAGACAAGGTCTTAGCTCCTCTGAGAACCTTGAAATCAAGTTTCTGTCACATAAAAATTAGTCACTAGAACAGCTTATCAATGTTTTTAAATGAAAACAAACTGGAGCTGCTCACCGAAGTCCTGCGTGTGAGAAGGGAACCAGACGAGCTTGCGGGATGAGACGGGGCTTGCAGAAAGGCCAGAGTTCCCCGAGGCCTCCGAGCCCAGCAAAGAGGGCAGAGGGTTCAGGGACAAACAGAAGAAGGTCAGGGCACACAGGAGCAGACGGGACCGGTCCATCACTCCCACCGTGGAGGGGGAGTCAGGCTCACTCTTCACCTGCGGGGAAGTGAGAGGCATAAAGAACCGGTGCACAACACTGCTGGACTGTAAAACTACGCATTTCATGAATATTGTATTATTTAATTTGAAATGCATTCACTGTTGCATTAATGATAATAACGTTTAAAAGTGATTATTTTAATAAAATTAAACGAATAGATAAAATTCAGATGCACTTTGTGCATTTTGAACTGATGCAGACGGAAGCCTTCAAAACCAATCCAGAGAACACCACCCATCCTACGGTCGTAGCTTTTACCTGGTCATGATCCATTAAAGGACTTCCTGGTTCAGAGTCAACGCAGTATGGAGAGAACTGATGTGGAGAACTGGAGCCAGAATCAGAAGCTGGAGGTGACATCATCACTACTTCCTGTTTGAGCTCCATATCCTCAGACAGTGTCACCGGCTCTGGAATAGAAAGAATCACTCACTGTAATCTTAAACTGCAACGAGTTTTAATCCGGTCTTTAAGTTATGACACTTACTGTTCTTCTGGTTGGCCATCTTGAGGGTCAGGTTCTCTTGCCGTAGTTTTTGGTTGACCTGCTGCAGGTATTTAATGTAGTCAATGGCCTTCCTCAACACCCCTGACTTATGCATCTGAGGGGAACACACAAGAGAGGATGGTAAACCTAATTGTTATAACAGCAGCTTTCTAAAAATTAAACATTTATATGTTTTAATCTACCTTTGCATCGTTGCCCATAACCAGGTCTCTGAGCTCCACAATCTTATCATTGATGGAGGATCTGTATCTCTTCTCAATGATGTTGTGCGTTGTTCTTCTTTCACCCTCCTTAATCACAACTCCCGGCCCCATGGTGCCTGCCATCATCGGGTTCTGCTCCACGCTCGACCTTGCTGCGTGAGTGCAGGTGGAGACTGGCGGGAGCTGTTTGATGGGCAGCTTGTCCCCTCCTCCCCCCATCACAACAGGAACAGTGGTGAGAATGTTGCTGCCCATCAGCGTCTGGGAACAGAAATCAGTGGCGGTGCAGTGTTTAAAAAACGTTTTATGAAACGAGCTCTACAAAAGGGAATTCTCGTGTCTGTGCTGCTCACTGGGACTTGTAAAGCTGTGTTCTGGATGGGTGTGGTCAGGGTGGTGATGCCTGTAGGGCTCTGCATGGTGGACAACACCTGTGTCCCGTCTGCCTTCAGAGTTGTGAGAACCAGTGACTCTGTCTTTAGAATCTGAGGCTGTTGAACCAAAACCTAAAGGATTAAAAGCACGTGTGTAAGGATTTTGTATTTGGTTAAAAACTTAAAATGCTTGTTTTTAATAAAAGAGCTCATTATTTGGCTGAGAGCCCAAATATCAGAACATGCGAGTGTTTCGTACTCACAGGCACTTGTTGCACCTGCTGCTGCACAGCGTGGACTGCAGCGGGCGCGGTAGAGAGGGTCTGAATGGTCTGACCGGTCTGGGTCAGGACTCTCTGATGCTGGATGGTTACCGGTTGAAGCTGTGGTGACGTCATGATGCTCTGAACTTGTGGTTGAAGAACTGGATGAATGAGAAGCATGATGGGTGATTTTCCTTTGCGTTCATTCAATTATTTGACACTTAAAGCAAAAACCCTCCTGCCCTTTCCCACAGTCACCTTGGAAACTGGGAGCAGGACTCTGATGGCAGATGACCGGGCTCTGGATGAAGCGTGACTGTCCACCGTTGGAGGCGATCATCACAGTTTGAGCCTGCGTCTGGATGGGGAGAGGCGTCTGGCAGTGGGTCTGAACCAGAGTGTGGACCGGGAAGTTCTGGGTTTGTAAGGGAACCCCCTGGGTGTGCATCTGCATTTAAGTAAAACACAAAGATTTATGTTTTGGGAGGTGTGAGATGTATTATTGGCTGTGGAAACGGTGTACATCTGTTCTCCGTGTGTTGCTGCTAAATGGTCATCCTTGTCGCTGACTTTCCCATTGGTTGGTTATTATTTACAAACCTCTGCTTGGGCTGGTACCTTATTATTAATGTGTTTGTATGCCGTTTCTTTCGCCCTATAAGTCACGTTTTTTTGCACAATTTGCATGCCCTTTGACTATTACGCCGGAGCAACATATTTATTGATTTTTTCCCATATTTATAAACCAATTTGAGATATGACCGTTTTCATTCATTCTGACTGAAAATAACCATTTCCCACTTTATTAGACATATTTGGACTGATGCGACTTATAGGGCGGTGCGACGTGTACGGCAGAAAATACGGTAAGTAAAAACCTTAACCTGTACAACCTCTCATAATATTTTACAAATGTCTGTCCTCAGAACGAGAACATCATGTGAATAAAAACTTTAAATATTTTGCCTCCATTTCTTGGAATGATTTCATAAATTTGTGAGAATTTGAATGATTTTTAAAATGTTGCTCGTCTTTATTGTAAACGGGGTTTTCAACCTCAACGAGACTTATACCTGGATTGAAAAAGGCTGTACAGGTGGTTAAAGACATCCTGAGCTGGACATGATGTTTTATTATCAGTACAGCAGAAACGGACAGGACAATCACGAGAACATCTTTGGAAAAGTCATTTAGCTCCTTCACAACCACATATGTATGACATGTAAGAGCTCAGTTTTCAGTGCATAACCCAACAAATAAGGTGCATGATGTAGAACAGCAGAACTAGAGGAAGAATAAATACAACTTTAAATATTCGATACCTGGATGGTTGGTGGGGCAGTCTGTTGGGGCTGTGGCTGGATGGGTTGGACCATCTGAGGGCGTGGCTGCAGCAGCGGAGGGCTGCGGATCACCTGCTGAAGCACTGAAGGAGTGGTGATGGGGGAAGGTGTCTGTGCGGGAGTGAGGGGAGGGGTGAGGGGAACAGACTGAAGGGACAGCGTCTGGGAGGAGGGGAGGCCTACACTGGTGGTCTGGTAGACCGCGGGGGCTGATGTCTGCGGGGTTTGAATGGTCGGCTGCAGAGCGGAGCTGACGCAGCCGGTTTGTAGAGAGCTCACTGCGGGCACCTGGTCCTCAAACATGTCGGAGAAGTCCCCCACCTGGTTGCTGACATACTGCAGCATCTCTGTAGAGGTGTAAGAACAAAATCAATGGCAAGGTGCACACGATATTTATAAAAGACAAATATGAGAACAAATTTTACTTTAAAATACAGTTTCACTGCAAAGAATGCCCCACATTCAGGAGAGAATACCCTTGTCTATTTGGCAGCACGACGGCTCAGTGGTTAGCACTGTTGCCTCACAGCAAAAAGGTTCTGGGTTCAATCCCTGGTTGGACCTGGGGTCTTTCTGTGTGGGGTTTGCATGTTCTTCTCGTGCATGCGTGGGTTTTCTCCAGGTACTCTGGTTTCCTCCCACATACCAAAAACATGCATGTTAGACTGCCTTCAGATCCAGGCCTCCCTTGCAAAAGAGATCTGTGATCTCAAAAGAGATTTGCCTGGTTAAATAAATAAAAAGGTTAATAAAATGTATTTCATTTATTTATTACACGGCTGTCATGAATCCTTATAAAATACAGTACAATTGCCTTGGTAGAGGTTTTATTAAGGTGTCTACATCTTGCAAAAAGATAAAACTACAGGCTGACCTTGAAACGACATTTATTCTCAGCGACGTCGCTACTGCTCAGCTAATAAATCAATTCAAACCAGCCTTCAAAAGTGAGAACCTTGAGATAAATAAAGCTGTAAAACTGACGGCACTAAACAACGACAGCTAAGATGGCTGCTTGTGCAGCTACGATCACACAGGATCCCAGCTTCAGTTATGTAATGTGATAATGTCAGCTCATTAATAGTTGCATTTATAACAAATTCTTGGTTAAATGATAATTAGGGCTTTAGGGGAAAAATAAACAACTGAGACCAATTTACTTAGTCTAGTTGAATAAAACAGAATAATTTTAATCAATGAATCCATTTAAAAACTAAACCACATGAAGACAAATTAATAATCACTTGTGATGAAGTAAAACTGATCAATTTCTTTACAGCATCACAAATTTAACAACGAGTGCAGGACTGAGTGAGCGACCTATCGCTGTTGGAACGGCTTCTACAGAGCTCATGGTAAAGATGAGGTTTGATCACTGACAGAATATCTTCAGGTGTCAGGGTCACCAGCCTTTAGCCTTGAACTTAGTCCTGCTCAAAGACACCGAGCCCAGACAATTCAACAAAGAGCCAATTTATGGACCCTATGAGAGAGTGGCTTTAAATAACCAAACAACATTACCACTGGACATTCTGACTACACTGTTGTGTCATCACACTTACCGACTGGTTACTGTGTTTATTTTATGAACTGGAACTCTGAAATAAGCAGATATTTCTTAGTTCAAACTACTGGAACACCGTTTTGTCCAGCTTTCATGCTTCCCACAGGTTTACTGCAGGTTAGGTTAGCTACACTGTGCGCTGATCAGAACTGGGATGTCATTGTGGGATACAAGGACAGATGTTAAAAATTCAAAGCTGAGTTATAAACTAAATACTTCATTTAAAACAATTCATTACTCAGTGTTCACAACTGCATGAGCCATTAAGACAAAAGTCATGTGAAAACTGTTGCAGAGGTTCAAAATGCTGCAGAAAGTATTCATTCAAAACAACAACTGCTTGATCAGAGTTTAAAGTTGCTGACATGAAAAAGATTAAATAAAATGAGAATATCAGTGTTTCCGTTTACTCTGAATCCATCAGGTAGTAAATAAATAAAGAACAATGTTCAACCTAAATATATTTAAAAAACTATTATTAGTGGCTCTTGCATGGACAGATTGTATAACTAGAAAGGCACTATCAATGCAGAATATTGAGCGTAAATAAACAACTATTTATTAATGAATATCATATCAATATTTTTCATGGAAGACCTTGCATATTTCAGCAAGACAATGCTAAACCATTTATTGTGTCCATTGCAACAGCACAGCTTCATGATCCAAGAGTGCAGGTGCTGAAATGACCTACAGTCCAGACCTGTCACCTACTGAAAGCATTCGTCTCGTCATGAAATACAAAAAGTGGCAAAGACTCGGGGCTGTTCAACAGCTCCTACAGACAAGAATAGGACAAAGTTCTCCTCTAAAAACTCCAGCAGCTGGTTTCCTCAGTTCCTACACATTTATAAAACTTGTTTAAAGAAGAGGAGATGCCTCACAGTGGGAAGAATGGACTTATCCAGATGTGCTGCTGCCATCAAATGGAAAATATCTTTATGTAGTCCTACAAAATGTATTCTTTCTAGACTTAAACTAAGTAAAATATGAGTAAACTAAAACTAGATATAATTTGGGCAGCATGTTGGCTCAGTTGGTAGAGCTGCTGCCTCTCACCGAGAAGGTCGCCGGATCAAATCCCGGCTGGGGGACCCTTCTGGGTGGAGTTTGCATGTTCTCTCCGTGCATGCGTGGGTTTTCTCCAGATACTCCCGTTTCCTCCCACAGACAAAAAACATGCATGTTAGGCTGATTGGTGACTCTAAATTGTCTTGTTTGTCTCCATGTGTCCCTGTGATGGACTGGAGGCCTGTCCAGGGTGTCCCCCACCTCTCACACAGTGACTGTTGGATATGGGCACCAGTGATCGAAAAGCAAGAAGCGGGTGAAGATAATGGATGGATGGATAAAATTTGGGTTTCTGAAACTTGAACGTCATTGCATTCTGTTTTTATTGACCTTTTACACAGCGTCCCTACTTTTCACAATAGGGGTTGTAAGCAATTCCTGCACATATTTACAGTAGTAGTATTTAATAACCTTTAGCTAACGCGCTTAATGTGACTCATGAATCTCTAGAAAATCACTGTGAAAAACACATGACTGTAATGCCACTTGGTTGTTGATGTGTACTGCTGACTATACATGATGCTGATCTGATGCTGCTGATTATTTCATGTTGCTGTGTTCATTGGTCCTCATCTGCTCACACAGACTCATGTTTGTGCTGCTGTTGTTTTGGAAGATTACCATTAGTAATTAGTGTATTCTTAGTTTAGTGAATGTAGTATATTCTTAGTTCATGTCTCGGATCTTACTAATGTTTTTCTTTACAATTTGTGTTTTTGTTGGATGTAACTGGGACCCCGTGTACATAGTTTCGTTCCACCTCATGTACCACATGTGACGTGAATGATAATAAAAATCATTGAATCTTTAATGATCCAAGTAAAACCCAGGGAAACACTTCAGGAGCTTTCTGACGCTGCTGAGTGTATTGCATGTACAAAGAGAACAAAGTGCACGTGGAACTTGAACAGGTGAAAGAAAACTCATCTAAGAGAAATACGCTGCCACTTCATGTACGGGCTCAAACTGATGATGGAAAGAACTATTCTGAGCTTGTTAGTAACAGCTGTCATTCGGAAATTGTTTTGCCGCAACATACAACTTTTATTAAGCAATTCATTCCAAGACACGCCCTGATGCCCAGAACAAGTGCAAGGAGATGAACTAGATACACTAATACGATTCCCTTCATGGAAACCCTCAAGTTGAAAACAAAATTTAATCAAGAGTAACAAGAGGACAGGAATAGAAACTGGTATGTGAATATGGTTAGGAGGGGGGCGGCTACTCATTTTGAAATAGAAATGTAGCCCCTTGCAATATACAAGAAAGAGAGAACTGCTTAATTAACCACAACTGCTCACACTGGTTCACTGTGGGACTCAGAGCAGTCAACAACAGCCTCCGTTTAATTAGGTTGGATGTTTTTAAATACGAGGCACTTATGAGACCAAGTCTTGAGAAGACACATTTAAAAAAGTAAGCAAAACACAACAGCAACATTAATATACATTTGTTCTGCCAGCAGCCCTGTCACTATTCACCTCCACAGGGGACAGATTGTTAGAGGCAGTCAGGACAAAGCAAGGAGGTCCTGAGGTTTCAGCTCAGCTGACACCGAGCATAAATCTATTAGTCGTTTTTAAGGTAAGGGTTCCTATGGTTTCTAAAACTGGCTTATATTTTTCTCCATTTTGGACAGAGTCCCAGTGGGAAGACTGTATTTATCCATTAGTTGTGGGCTGTCACCTATTAACTCATCAGCTGTCATTTCTCTTTCAGTCTGTACATTCCTCTCTTTTAGACACAGTGATTAAGTGGGATTATGTAACTGTGGCTAATGTGCCATCTATAACTGTCACCCACCACCCAAAGGCGGAGGAAAATGACAACGTATTAGCCCATGTTTTTCTGGTACAAAAATATCTTTCAAACCACTAGATCAATTCTCATGAAACTTTCAAAAAGTACTTTATACATTACAGTGAAGCCTCGCTATAACACAGTTCACCTTTCACGGTCTCGTTGCTTCACGGATTTGCATCGTGCATTGTGTTCTGCATTCTGATTGGCTAAACAGTCTTTCCAGTACAGTAGTTATTTGTATAAAATGTTTATACAGTACTTTTATTTGTTAAACAAATGCTTGGGCCTGTAAAAAAGGTTTTGTTATTTGGTTTGAATGTATTATGGAGTATTTCATTGTGTAATAATTGTAAAAAAAAAAAAAAAAAGGTTACTACGTCACGGATTTCGCCTATCACGGGTTCTTTTTGGAACGTAACCCCCGTGAAAAACGAGGGTTCACTGTATACGTATATTATTGATTAAGATTTGGAGTCGACCCATAAACCCTAAAACGATCACAAACCACTGCATCGACCTCTCCGCTCTAACCCTGTCAGAAAAACAAAGAGTCACTAATCTGGGAGTGATAATGGACCCTTCCCTGAAACTTAACAATCATGTAAACATGATTGTTAAATCATGCTTCTTCCAACTGAGGCGGCTGTCTAAACTGAAGCCCATATTGTCCAAAAAGAACCTGGAGACAGTAATACATGCATTCATTACATCTAGGCTTGATTACTGCAATTCACTCCTGTTTGGTATCAGTCAGACCTCCATTGCACGACTAAAACTGGTCCAGAATCCAGCAGCCCGATTTTTAACCAGTACAGGCAAAAGAGAGCACATTACACCAGTTTTGGCCTCACTGCACTGGTTACCGGTTCACTTTCGAATCCAGTTCAAAATACTGATGTCTACAAATCACTGAACAGTGTCACCCCCCCCCCCCCCCACCAGATTTGCTACAACCGTATGTCCCACCACGTTCCCTGAGGTCAGCGGACCAGTTGCTCCTCACAGTTCCAGATGTATGAAGGCAGCAGACCAAGAAGTGATTTAAAGATGAAAGTGTACCAGTGAGAGAGTCTGCATGAAGTTAATGATGACCAGTTAACCAGTGAATACAGGGTGCAGTGGTGGGTACGATAATCACAGCCAGTTATGAATCTTAGTGCACCATGATAGACAGCATCCAACATCTGCAGGGTTCTTGTAGGAGCGTTCATGTAAATAATGTCACCGTAATCAATGGAGGGAAGGAAAGTCACAGTTACAAGTCTAAAAAAGTTAAATCTGGTCCTCTGGACATAAAAAAAACCCCAAAGCAAATCAACAGTTACAAGGTGTTTCCTAGCATTCAGAGTTAGACAGGATCTGTTTCTGAAAAAGAAACCCAGTTTAACTTTCAGTTTCTTTACCAAGTTTTCCACATGAAGCTTAAAAGAGAGATGTGAGTCGACCAAGACCATCTGCATTTGGTAGCAGGTCAAATGGACAAAGACCGTGCAGAATAATGTAGTATTTTAATTCCACAGCAGAGAAATCTATGTAGTCTCTGTAAGGAGGTCAAGGAAAGGAAACATCGGTATTGGTATCGGCCAAATAAGTTTTAACATATTGGATATCGGCCAAAAATCCAATATCGTGCATTCATACAGTTTAATGACATTTTCAGAAAATGATGCTTGGATGTATGGATATACAGTATCAGAAGACAAAAGCAGGTTTATTTCACGGTTGTGAAAATTGATCTCAGAAGCAGTGTTATTTGTTTGTTACGAATGTTTTAAAGTACAGTTAAGTTTAAAGACAGTAGGTACTTTTAATCCCAAATGACTAAGTCCAGTATAAGAAAGCGTCAAACACACGATCAGTCTGATTTGGTGACGGGGCAGAATAAAATCCCCGTTCTTATGGAAACCTGGTGACTCTGCACTCATCAGCTCAGTCCTTTTATTGTCGACTGAATTTGTTTGCCGCTGGTTACAAACTTGTAGAGTTCACGAGTGGATCTGTACAGAAAAGCTGGAGCACAGATGTTGCTCAGTTAAATCAACACAACAAACTTGGCACTGTCACAACAGTAAAACTACAACTCCAACATTTCTCAAGATGTTTCACACAGAGGAATAGAAATGCTGATGTTTTTTTTTCCAGAAAAAAATCCCCATTTGTTGTTTACTGTTTTGCCAAGTTTATTTTTTTGGTTAGTTGTTTCCCTGTGATGTAGTCGGGTTTTCTTAAAGGTTGTCCTGCTTTAATTTTTGTTTTCTTCAGCATGCTATATTAAAATCTGTTCAGTTTTTTCAATTTTTTATTAATCCTAGGGTCACCCAAAAACTTACTCCCTTCCACATGTAATACATAAAAGAATAATTATATAAAAGTCTTAAATTTAAGAGTTTCTTGATCTTACAATCAGACTGTCACTGTTTGAGCAGGCTTTTACATTTTATCTTTCGCATCTGTTCACAGAAAGTGACAACAGCCTGTTAATACTAACAATAAGAGTTTCAGTCTCACTAATGACTGATAATAAATACATATAAACAAAATAATGTCCAAAATGTTACTGCACTTGTGTCAAATTGCACTGAAAGTAATTACTATAGCAAAATATGTACATGTGTAAAATAAAATATAAACAATACATTTATAATTTTACATAAATAACACTGAAAGTTGAGATAATAAATATTACCAACAGTTACTTTATCACGAGCTGAATTTGGGATATTTTGATGATTAAATAATCAAATATCAGACTAGCTATTGGCAGTGTCTCTGGAAACAAGCCAACATTTAGAAACACAACAACACACGCCATCGACAGCCAACAGACTCACCGTCAAAGTCTCCTAAAGTGAACTCGTCTCCCAACTCCGCTAAGGTCGAGTCCATGTTGTCCACAGGAGCGACGTACTCTCCGGCGTCCATCCTGTCTCAGCGGCTCGCAGCCCGGCGGCTGTCACCGGAGCGTCGCAGAGGAGCCAACACCAGCGGGCTCCACTCAACCGGCTCCACAACGACACCGTCTTTATCTGAGCTAAACCAGTCCCCTTTATCAAAATTAAGTTTAGACAGGGGAACCTCAAACGACGTTACCGTCGTTAAACTCCTTCCAAATCAATATGTTTTCGACGGGACGCCATCTTGCTTTACGCTAATTACGTCATTCACAAACAGAAGCGGTGGCCCAAGACGGCTTCTGATTGGCTGAAACCCCGCCGTTCTTGTCGTGAGACCAGTTACCATCGTCCAATGAGAAGGCTGCATTTACTGTGGTGTGATGGTACGTCAAGCATCAGAAGCTGGTGTGTCATTTGAATGAACCGCCCCTTGTTTTTATAAAAAATAAATACACATTGATAATAACGATGGCTGCACCTACATGTGATGGATGTTATGTGGTCATTGACCAAAATGGTGTTATAGGTTTATAAACAAATGCAATGTCCTCAACCAAAAATGGCCTAAAGAAACATTTACAAGAGTTTCTTGCATTATTGGCAAGAAACATTTAAAAAAAGACCAGGCTCTTGTATAAAACAAAATAGTTCATATTTAATTCATTGACATTTTTTTAATATGAAAAAAACACAAATGTGTGTCAACTCGTATACAATGTTAGTTCATGGAAATAACACCCAAAGTATAGATTAAAGATATCCTGATGTGTGCTCAGTAATGCAGGTAGAAAAATCTAAAAAAGTGAAATCTGGTCCTCTGGACATAAAAAAAAAAAAAGGCAAAAAAAATGTAGAAACGTTTCGTCTCTCATCCGAGAGACTTCCTCAGTCTAAGGTGCTGTATTCAACTCAGTCTTATAAATAGCACCTTCTCAGAGTGGATCAACCAGTTTTGCTGCTGACAACCAAAACCAGCAAATGTCCTCTATCAGAGACTGAGACCTCACAGTCCAAGAAAGCCAACCTGCCATTTTTTACATTTTCTCGTGTGAACTTGATGTATTTATCCACAGAGTTGATGTGGTCAGTAAAATGTTGGACTTCCTGAGATTTAATTTTAACCCAGGTGTCGTCAACATACCTGAACCAATGACTTGGTGGTGTCCCTGAAAAGGACGTCAAGGCTCTCTTTTCTACCTCCTCCATGTACAGGTTGGCAACAATAGGAGAAACTGGAGACCCCATAGCACACCCATGTTTCTGCCTATAATATTGCTCCCCATATGTGAAGTAGGTTGACTGCAGGCACAGTTTCAAGAGTTGACACAGTTGTTCTGTGGAAAGCGTGGTCCTGCTGCTCAGAGTGGTGTCTGATTTTAATTTTAAACTGACCACCTCTACTGCATCATCAACAGGAATGCACGTAAAGAGTGATGTGACATCAAAAGAGACCATTGTTTCATCAGTCTCCATGATGACATCCCTCACCTTATCCACAAAGTCCATGGTGTTCTGTATGTGGTGTTCTGAGCTGCCAACTAAAGGGATGAGTACAGATGCCAGATATTTGGAAACATTGTAAGTGACAGAGTTAATCACGCTAACGATTGGTCTTAAAGGTACACCTTGTTTGTGGATTTTAGGTAAACCATACAGACTAGGTGTGGCCTCCCCTGGGTACAGTCTGTGGTACAGAATACGGTCAATAGCCTTGTCCTGCTCCAAATCTTTCAGGCAATCTATCAATTTCTTCTTGTAACCACTTCCTGGATCTCTTTTCAGAGGTTCATAAGTGGTTAAGTCACTGAGTGTCATAACTTTCTCATGATAGTCTTTCTGGTTCAAAATCACTGTGCACCTTCCTTTGTCTGCTGGGAGAATGATGATGATTTTGTCCTTGCTAAGAGTGGTGAGTGCATCCCTCTCCTCTCTACTGATGTTGGAAGGTGGTGGTTTGGCATTGCTGAGGCAGGATGAAACTTTGATTCTGAGCTGTTCTGCTTCACCCTCTTTCATTTTGTTGTTGCGGATGGCTTTTAAACCCCAAAATACATTACAGCAAAGACTGGTTCATTCCAAAGATCCAGTCCCCCGGCACAAACAGAGTAATATTGTGTATGCTGTTCAGTGTCAGGAGGGTGATCAGTCTTACATCGGGGAAACTAAACAGCCACTGGCCAAAAGGATGGCCCAGCACAGAAGATCAACATCATCAGGCCAGGACTCTGCGGTCTACACTCATCTCCAGGCCAGCGGTCACTCTTTCAAGGATGAAGATGTTCACATCCTGGACAGAGAGGAACGATGGTTTGAGAGATGAGTAAAGGAGGCCATCTTTGTGAAAAGAAACCGTCCATCATTAAACAGGGGTGGAGGCCTCCGGGTTCAACTGTCCCCCTTTTACAATGCTGTGATTGCTAGTATCACTCAGCCCTCTGTGAACAGTAAACAGCCATCAGTGTGCTAATGATCCATTGTTAGGCTGATGGTCCTTCTTGATCATGTGATCAGCTGGTTTTGGTTGTCAGCAGCAAAACTGGTTGATCCACTCTGAGAAGATGCTATTTAAGAGACTGAGCTGAAAACAGCTCCTCAGACTGAGGAAGTCTCTCGGATGAGAGACGAAACGTTTCTACATTTTTTTGTTTTGTTTTTTTGAATGTCCAGAGGACCAGATTTAACTTTTTTAGATATAGATTAAAGAAATGCTTATAAAATCAAGCACAATTATCCAACTTAAAAATATTTATGATAAATTTCTAATAAAGTGAATTACTGTAAAAAAAATAATTTTTTTTAAAAAGGCAATAAATTCAATCATGAAATAAATTTTATTGAGAATTGTAACTGCAAGATGAGCAACACACTAATTACATGCTTACAATCAGTGAAAAACTTGTACTTATTTTTGAAAATCTGTTAATAGACAACTGAAAATTTAATATTTAATCTAAATTTGAAAAGATGTTGAACAGTGCAACGCATCAGCTTACTGCAACCATTCTTTAGCATGTAAAATATTTCTTTGTTGATTCATCAACTATCAGCCAGGACATTTTGTCCTTTTTTTATCGTGTCAAAACACACTGCACAGTGCAACCATATCCTTAATTTTTTTAAATCAACTTAAACAAACATTTACAAATAAACTTTGTTTTCCTTAAAATGTAATAAATCGCTTCATGAAACATTTAATTGGATAATAACAGTGCTAATATTTTTATTTTTTTTAGATAAAAACCAGGAAAATGATTTCCGTTTAGCGAGTTTATTTGTTCCAGTAGATTTCATAAGATTTCTTCTCGGAGCAGCTGGTTTCTGTTGAGCCTGTTCCAGATCTCACTTTCTCCTTCACCACCTTCACCACCAGACCACCAGCCAGGGCGATTCCTGCTGCAGCTTTGCCGATCTCAGCCACCGCGCTCAAGATGCGAGTCGTTACCATCACGGCGCCCCAGTGGTTCGGTACAGCCGCTCTGGTCACTGAGACCACGCCGGGTCCTGTTGCATCAAACACGGCCCCCGCTGACCCAACAGCCACCTCTTGAGCTAAAGCTGCAGCACACTGAGGAGGTCCTGCAGCAGCAAAGGCCACTGCGTGCTGTGGTCCTGCTGAAGCTAAACTCCCCTGAGCTGCTGAAGTTGCAGTTTCTGCTCCGCTAAGAGCAGCTGAGCTAAAAGCTGCTCCCTCCAGAGCTGCACCTAAAGCAGCGCCTGCTCCCAGGGCACATCCCACACCTGCTGCCACTCCCACGGCAGAGGCTCCGATCACGCTAACCTGAGCCAAGGCATCTACAGCTCCCTCCTGAGGACTTGCTGCCTCAGTGCCAGCAACAGCGCCAACAGAACCCCCCAAAACTCCACCGGTTGCTGCCCCCAGAGCCACTGCAGTTTTTCCGGATGCTGCTGCCACTATGGCCCCTACAGCTTTCCCCACCCCTGTTCCTCCTGCTACAGACATCCCAGCCAACTGCCCTGCAGCAAAACCTACGGAGTTTCCTACAAGAGACGCCCCCGCTGCGGCGGCTAACGGAGCAGCAGCTCCAAACACAACCCCGACGGCCATGCCCGTCGCTCCAGCAGCCACCAGGATCTTTACCCTGTCCAGAACCTTAGCAGAGAGCGCAGCTTCCCTCCTCAAGCGGCTCAGCGATGAACGGAGGGAACGTCGCCGGCTGAACCCATGATGCCTCCCTCGGAACCGGTCCCTCAGGAGGCTGAAGGCGTTTCTTCTGCTCTCCTCTGTCCATCTCTCAACCCTAAACGCCTCTTCATCTCCTCTACCGGACTCCAAGTCACACTTTCTTCGTTTTGTAACTTCACTTTGTTCTTCCACGCTGCTGTTTCCCCCCTCTTCTTCTCCTTCTCCACCCTCTGCTTGTATTCTCTCCCTCAGCATCCTTGTTTGCTCCTCTGTGATGGCAACCTCTGCCTCCAAGAACACAGCGTTGGTATAAAACCCTCCGTTATTCAGCTGCACCATCTTATCCACCTTCCTCAACAGGTCTTTAACCTGAGTTGAGTTACCGGGGTCTTTGTTGTTGAGAACATGGTATCTACCTCCACACCTGCCAATAAGAGCTGTAAGACCAGCAGGTGCAGTCTCTCTCAGATATTTTTCAATCCCAATTCCCTCCAGGTCATCACCCCTGGTAAAAACAACTACAGTGTGGTGACGGACAGCACCTTCTCCAAATATGTGGCTCAGCTGGCTCACGGCCCGGTCCTCGTTGTCTGTGTATCGTCCGACTGGCACCACAAGGAGGAACGCGTGTGGACCAGGGGCAGAGAGAGACACACATTTGGCTATTTCTGCATGCGTCTGCTCCACGCTGAGGTGAGTGTCCCCAAAACCTGGCATGTCGACCACAGTTATCCTCCTCTTCCTCCTCTGCGTGACAGCCTGGTTGTCGTCCTCTTCCTCAGTGAGCTCAGTGCTGCCGAGCGCACAAATCTGGGTGACGGAGCTGGCGCTGATCTGCGACAGGAACTGGCTGCGGCCCAGGATGGTGTTTCCAGACGCACTCTTGCCAGATCCGGTCCGTCCAACGAGGACCAGTCTGAGTTCTTCGATCCATCTACTTTCAAACTGGTCACCTTCATAGTCAGTCTCCATATCAGCTGGTTCCTTCCTCTCATCTTCTGATGGAAAAACTGGAACAGAAATTTGTAATTTGTTAAGACTACCACTTTATCTGACATTGTAAACCTTGAAATTCCTTTGAAAAAGATGGCAGTCAACAGATCACACAAGATCCTGTACTACTGAACATAACATTAGTTTCAAGATAACATGATCTTAGTCTGAAGCTCTGGCAAAAATAGATCGGCGAGTTTTCTAATTTATAAACTGGTGCAACTGAACTGCCCTACAAATATTTTAGTTTAGTTTCGGCCTGTAGAAAACTTCTCGGAAACAATTATTTGTTTGCTCAAAAGTATAGTAAAGTTGTGTCTCTGGGTGGCGCAGTGAAATGCATCAATTTGACGTTTGCTCCAGGAGTTCCAGAGCAAGATGAAGGCTAGAGGGCCCTAGAGTAATATGGCATGCCAAGTGTCTCATCACGCCAGTTTTGGCCTCCCTGCACTGGCTACCCATTCACCTTCGGATCCATTTCAAAATTCTCATGTATGTTTTTAAATCACTGAACAGTTCCGCCCCATCCTATCTCACTGATCTTCTGCAGCCATATGTCCCACCGCGCTCTCTGAGGTCAGCAGACCAGATGCTTCTCTCAGTCCCAGAAACCCGTCGTAAGCTCAGAGGTGACAGGGCTTTCTCTGTTGCAGGTCCACGACTGTGGAATGAGTTGCCACTGAGTGTCCGGCAGGCTTCCACACTCTCAGTCTTTAAGTCTCGCTTGAAGACCCACTTCTATTCGCTTGCCTTTAACACGGTGTGATTTGTTTTGGTCCGGTCTGTTCTCTACTCTGTTGGCCATTTTAGTTAGCTTCTGCTGCTATTTGTATCTGTATTTCTATTTTATGTTTTCCTGTCCGCTGTGCATGTTTGTGTTCTTTTGTACAGCACTTTGGTTGGCCTTGTTGCTGTTTTAAGTGCTATATAAATAAATTGGTATGGTATGGTATGGTATATTACTCGAGGGCCCTCTAGTGGCTGAAAATGGTAGTGTTCAATATTTTCCATGTCAGAATGAATGAAATCATCAAATCTCAGCCAAAAATTGAGTTGGCTGTTGCATCTCTACTCCATAACTTGGCCTCAAAGAAGAGTTATGCATATTTAGCATATGCTAAATGTTCGGTAGACAAACACGACGACAAATGCTGTGCAAACCCAGGCATTTGCAACAAGTGTTTCTTAACTAAATTACACCTTAAAAATCAAGTTCCATAAGATTATGTCATCATCTGAAGTGTCATCACCTTAAATTTATCACCTAAAAACACCTGAGCAGCTGTGGCTGAGTGGTTAGAGCAGTCGTCCTCCAATGCAAGAGTTGGGGGTTTGACTCCAGCAGTAGTCACATGCTGAAGTGTCCCTGGGCAAGACACCGAACACCTCATTGTCTTTGATGTGTGTCCCATCAGTGTATAAATATGATTTAAAACTACTGATTATTATTTGTATAGATCTATTACAGTGCTGTATGAATGGGTAAATGAAGCCACAGATTGTTGTGCAAAGCGCTTTGAGTGTCTTGATAAGATAGAAAAGTACTATACGAGTACAGTCCATTTACCATTTACAGTACTTAGTGAAGTATGATGTGCTGTTGAAAGGCCCATGATCTGTTGAATAAAAATAAAAGTGAAAGTTGTCATGCAATAAAAAAATCCCTATTGACACATTTCCTTGTACTGTGGGAGTAAAAAAAAAAAAAAAAAAGATGCATAAACATCAAATCATAAAGTCAGAAAAAGTCACTTCCTGTTTTCAGACTAGTGTTTAATTTTTTTTTTATTTTAAACATGGACAAGATTAGTTTGACTGAAATACAGACGGTCACATTATGACAGCTGCTATCAGGAAGTGACTAGAACTTTTAGGAAGAAAGTAAATGTTTAAACTAAACTGTTGTTGATGACATAATACTTCTTCCAATGAATAAAAACGAACATTTGGCCACTGACATCAGAACTGTTAAACTTAAAGACGGCAGGTCCACTATAACTGGTGCAAGACCAGTTGATGGTTCTAATGGTTCGTCCTGTAAACAAACATAAAAACAGCAGCGGGTGGCTGGAGGATGTGGTTTAAAACCTTACTCAGTACATTCACAGTTCACATCAAGTGGATCTAAATATAATACTGAAAGAAATCACGTTTTGATCGTGACCGATAAGCTCATTTATGAATTTAGATGTTAGCTTCCGATGTTAGCAGGTTGCTAACTTCTGACGGGAAAGGGCACAAAGACAAAAAGATCATCTTACCTCCGTCCATGTTGCAGGACATTTCTATTTTTTTACAGCGTCATATGTCCTCTTCTGTCAAACTCGGGTTTTATTTCTCTTAAAGTCAGTTTTAGTCTCGGTTAACCCACTTTCTGTTCCGCTTCAAAACAAACATTTGCACTTTGGTCCTGAAAAATCTCTTCGGTGGCTGCTGCCCTCTGTTGGTTACATGTCCCTTCCGGGGCTCCGTAGTTGGTGGCAACAGGACTGACACTTTTAACAGAGCGGTGTCACTTTATTCAAATAAATGTTAACAAAATGGCTTGTTGGTTCTGCAGCAACAACACCCCTTCTCTGAATATACAGATAACTTCATAACAGTCTAATTAAAAATTACACCAATCTATTTCCACATGTATTAAACCATTAAATGTCCAGCTAATAAATAAAAACATTAAAGACATGAAGGTTCACAGACTGCATTTGCTTGAAAAAAAAAAATACAACAAATGTTATAACTAAAAATCTTTAAAGTAAAAGAGACAATTATAGTGATTAAAAACACATACAAAAAAACAAACCACAAAATTATATTGTGCTTCAGGCAAACAAAACAACTGATGTGGTCTTACAACCGTAAGCAGCAATGAGAAGACATCTCCCTTTTAATAAATATCCCGTTAAAGTACCCAACAATTTCCAGTTTAGAAAAAACCTTTTTTTTCTTTAAAAAATTAATTTTAAATTACACAAAACCAGGCCATGTTTTAACGAGGTTAAATTGATACTCAGCAACCACACCTATTTAAAGCAAATGGGTTTCACGCGTAATAAATCTAGAGCAGACACGTTACATTAGGGGTTTTGAAGTTCTGAAGTAAACTTTGAAAAGGAATAATAGTTTTAAAGTTCTGCGGGATAACCCTCGTGTATTCAGAGAACGTGTTTCCCTCGTTTAATAGAAACATCCTGTAATGGTAAGTTTGATTCAATTATAAATGACAGCTGACGGGCAAGTTTAAGCCTTCGTCAGAACCTGACTAACCTCCTCTTCCACTAGTTTTGCGTCTCATTGAGGTTTCCTCTGTTGTTTACATCAGAGCACCTTGCTTTCCTACGGTGGACGGCAGCGCTCGTTTCTCCACCGTCGTCACAGTCTACAAGTCTCGTGGACTTTATACACGCTCGCTCTCCTCTTTTGTCGTTGCTTGCGCTGATGAGCGGCGCTATAGTTCCGCGCGGGAGCGGGAGATGCGAGGGCCTTTTCGGATTTCTTTCCTCTTCTCCTCCTTCCTCCTCCTCTTCTCCTCCTCCCTCAGGATCTTCTGGAAAGCTTCGGCTGTATGAAGAACCTGAAATGGATGAGAGAAAGACAAAGATTTAAAAAAAAGAGAGAGCTGCAACATGTTTCCCGAGGCCACTGCTCTAAAAGCAGCGGGGCGAAGCAAAGATCTGCATGTGGGACTGTTGCTAATGGTGGAAAAAGGTGGCATCAGCTCAACCTTCATGCGTGGTACTCACATCGTCTCTTTCTGTGCGGTACGGGTTCATGAAGTCTGGGGATTTCTCTGTTATTCCCAGCTCCTGGGACATCTACGAGCAAAAAAAAAAAACAAAGGAGACGATGACAGAAGAGAAGATGATGCATTATAATCTTCTTAAAATAGACCAACTTTGGGGTTAGTGTTGCAGCGGTGTGCAAACTGCAGCTTCGACTCTGAAACAACCTACTTTCTCACCAACTTGGCACATTTCAAAGGTTGCAGATTAATCCTGACAGAGTTGAGCTAATTGATGTTTAAAAGTGGGGAAATGTTTCATCAGCGCTGCTCATTTCTGCTTCAGAGACTACGATGCTGCACAACATGAAGAACATGTCAGCAACGGGCGTTATCCAGTGACAGAGATGCAGTAAAAAGAATCTCCTTTGTTAATATTTGTCAGCAGAAATAGAATGAATCTTATCATTCTAATTGAATTTTGACTTTTAAAATAATTGCAAATAGACTGTTTTTTAAAAGCTAAACAACTCAACAGTTTCCCATACTTTTAAATTAAACTGTTCGTCCCTCTCAACACTTTCTCCTTTTCTAAAAGCTCCATGTTTTGACTCCCTTGAAGCTGAAGATGTTCGCAGATTGAGACAGAAACGGCACCTCCGTCGAACGGACAGCTACACGCGTGTCTGCTCTTACAAGTGTGAGGACGTGCTGGTGGGCTCCTCCGGTGAAGACCCCCGTCTGGTTACAGAAACTCAGCCCCCAGCGCAGCAGACCGCTCCAGTCCGAGTTGCGGTCGTAGTAGTGGTGGACGATACGAGGGAAGCGCAGCGCCACGTCCCCGAAAAACGCCGTGTTCTCCACCACGTGGGAATAAGCTGTAAAGACAACGCAGAACGAGGCGAGTTCATGAGATCTGTGTTGAAACAAATGGACAGAAGCAAAGTTGATGAAGAGGAAACAGGTGACGAGCTCAGAGGTGGGCGGATGACAAACAGTGCTGAAGTTAAACGGAGCAAAAATGATTAGAGATGCTGTAAAGGAGAAAACAGACGCCCTCTTTCTGTTCTAGGGCTTTATGTAGCAGGACATAATAAAAACTAGAGAAACTGCATTCCCTGCGAAGATCTAGTGTGAATGCTTATTGCTGAAGAACCTGCTGAGAAGCAGCTGAAATGAGCTAAAAACAAACCAACAGAAGAAATGTAGCTGAAATGGAAGAACAAACCCAAGTTAGCACAAGAAAGCAGAAAGAAGACATATTTGCTGAATTAGGTGTAAATAAGCAGAAATTAGCACAAACAATTAGGAAATTAGCTTTTAAAAAGTTGAAATTAGCAAAAAACAGATGAAAGGTAGCTGAAAAGGCAGAAAGAATCTTATACCACCAGAAGGAAGTGAAAAGGAGCTGAAATGAGCTAAAATAAATGTGAAAAAGCTGAAAAAACTAAATTAAGCACAAAAACAGCTGAATAGTAGCTGAAACAGTAGAAAAAGCTGAAACTAGCATAAATACAGTAAGCTGAAAGGAGCATAACAAGCTGACATGAGCAGAAAGAAGTTAATTAGGCTGAAAGTAGCAGACATTACCACGGTAAATTTGAATTTATCTAAAAACAGCTGAAAATACCAAAAAAATACTAAAAAGGTAACTGAAAAGATAGAACAAATTTCAATTACCAAAATAAAGCAGAAAGAACAAATGTTTGCCCAATTAGGCTGAAAGAAACAGAAATAAGCAGAAAAAGTGGAAATTATCTAAAAAAAGCTGAAATTAGCAACAA